TCCCCACTTACCGTCTGGTAATGACAAAACTATTGTCTGTGTCTATGAGTTTTTGTTTTTTCATTTGTTTGTCTTGTTCCTTTGTTGTTTTCAGTTTTATACACCACATTATCAGTTAAATCATATGGTTCTCCACTTTTTCTGTGACTTATTTCACTTAGCACTATAATCTCAAGATCCATTCATGTTGTCACAAATAGCACTATTTCATCTTTTCTTATGACAAAATAGTATTCCATTGTGTATATATACCACAACTTCTTGATCCAATCATCTATCGAAGGACATTTTTGTTGTTGCTGTTGTTGAGTTGTATGAGTTCTTTACATATTTTGAGTATTAATCCTTTATTGGAGATTTTGTTTCCAAATATCTTCTCCCATTCGGTTGGTTACCTCTTTGTGTTGTTGATGGTTGTTTTTTGCTGTGCAGAAGAATTTTAATTTAATATAGCACCATTCATTTATTTTTGCTTTTACTTCCCTTGCCTTTGAGGTCAAATTCATAATCCAAGGTCCATAAGTTTAGTACCTATGTTTTCATCTATGCAATTTATTGTTTCAGGTCTTATGTTTATGCCTTTGATCTATTTTGAGTTAATTTTGGTATATGGTGAAAGATAGCACTCTAGTTTCACTTTTTTGCATGTGGCTTTCCAATTTTCCCAGCCCTATTTATTAAACAGACTTTCTTTCTCTGTTGTAAGTTTTTGGCTCCTTTGTTGAAAATTATTTGCCCATATATATGTGGGTTTATTGCTGGGTTCTCAATTCTATTCTTTGGTCTGTGTGTCTATTTTTCTGCTCATACCATGCTGTTTTGATTATTGTGACTTGGTAGTAGAAATTGAAGTATGGGAGTGTGATACCTCCAGCCTTGTTCTTTTTCTTAGGATTGCACTGGCTATTTGGGGTTTTGTGATTCCATACAAACCTGATCACTTTTTTTGCTCTATTTCTTTAAAAAAAAAAAGTCTTTGGGATTTTGATGGGGATTGCCTTAAATTTTTTTATTGCTTTGGGTAATATGGCCATTTTAACTATGTTGATTCTTCCAGTCCATAAACATGCAATATCTTCCCATTTTTTNCACATGGCCCTGCGACCTTCAGAAGACTTCCCTTGGGCACTGGAGCCACATCGTTTGTCTGGAATCACTTAGTGCCTAGGAGCTTCACACAACTCCTCTCTCAGGGCAACCAGTAGCCAACGGCTGTTTAATAAGGGAGTCCAACAATTCAGTTCCTTTGTCTTAAGGCAGGACACACTGAGGTGTACTTTACACTCTCAAGATCTGGCTGATTGCCAACCAAAATTGAAAAAAAAAAAAATGACCTGGCTGAGCCTGGGACTTCAATTGAAATTGTGCTCTTATTTGGTTTCTTCCTCCTTCTTATCCTGCTCTACCCACTCTCTTACTGGTTTTGCTTTACTAAGACACTTAAATAAAACATTTGCATTCAAATCCTTAGTTTAGGGCTTGGAGAACCTGATCTGAGACAATAGATCATTATAATTTCTGAACACCAATAAACACATAATTTATAAACAAATGTCCACCAACCTGTCAACGAATGCATGGTGAAGAAGGAAAATGGGATCATTGGCAGATCCCTGTACCTGAGACATGGTTCCATTCATATAGATGTGCAAGGCATTGTGCATACTGCTTTGAGAGGCATCTGCTATCCCAGTGAGTGGACTGGCAAATCCTGTTGGTGAAAAGGAAATTGAAAAAAAAAAACTTAGTTTGCCTTCATGATTGAAAATCGAAGTGATTATCTCATTTGGTTTACAGCTACTATTGAAAGTCGAATTCAAAGGAATAAAATCAATGATGAAATTGATTCTGTATTGGGATGCCCTGTGAATATTTTATAAATCTTTGAGGAACTAAATCATGTTAATCTGGGTATAGTGGACTGATTCATGAGATGGAAGAGGCTGAGCCAATTTGTGCTCCCTCCTGTTGCTTCTGCCTGTGATGTCTCCTTTAGATACTGAAAAGTAGTGAGACCTTTTTATAAAAATCAGCATAGTCACTCTCACTTCAATCTGTGACACCACTTAGAGCAGACCTCTCCAGCCGGTTATGTGTCTCTGCTTTCCGGTTCTGGTGGTTACTTTTAATTACTTTTAATTTTGGTTTCTGGTTCCAAAGAAAGCATAACATTTGTGACCTTTCACATTATTATTCATCTTCAACAGTCCAGGGGACATCAGGTCATCATGTTTTTCATTTTGCAAAATATTCATTTCACAGTTAATCAGAACTCCCTTAAATGGTTCTATTCATTGCATCAGGAATACTAATAGTGGGAATAATGATTATGAGTTATTATTTTCTGAATGTTAACTGAGCTAAATGCTTTTTGTGATACATGTCCCCCAATCTATAGCAACTCTGTCTATTAAAAATTATTGTCCCCATTGCAAAAAAGAGAAAACTGAGGCTCAGAGAAATGTGGAGTTTCCCAAGGCCACAGAGGTAGTGGCAGAGTTGGGATTTTAGCCCATACCAATTAAGTTTCAAGATCTGAGCTCTTGATATTTGATGTTCTCTCTCACACACTCCCTGGGAAGAGATGGAGTAAGATATAATTCGAGTTCATTTAGATAAAACATAAAACATAAGCAGAACTCAAGCTTCAGAGCCAGACAAAGAGGTCAGAGTAACGAAGTTAAATTTTAAGCAGGAACCAAGTTGGAAGAATATGGCCAAGGGCATATTATTGAATTTCAGAATTTAGAAATACCAAGCAAGCAGAAAATGTGAGTAAAATAATTAATAATAATAATAATAATGATAGACACAATGAAGTTACTGTATTTGGGCAGGGGAGTTCTAGCTACATTTTACGCAATTAGGGTTATTGTGTGATCAGCATCTTCATTTTTAAAGGTATAATTCTTGACTTTTACATTTGATGCTTTGTGGCTCACAGTATTTCTCCCTCAGCTGGTGATTTATTCTGTTTCTGAGTGTTTTGTACCCATCCTAAGAGACCATACCAAGCCCTGTTTCCTCTGAAGCTTAGCCTAAGAACAAGCACTTCCCTCCCATCTGAACTCGCTTGTCTATGATAACTTTTATGATTGGCACGCACTATGTACAGGAATTTTTCTAAGAGATTGACCTGATTAATTTCATATAACCTTCAGAATGTTCCTACAAATTAAATGCCTTCATTATCTCCATTATATAGACTCAGACAAAGGGGCTTAGAGAGGTCAAGTAACTTGTCTACGATTACAAAATAAATAAGAGGCGTTAAGGTTGGAACACAAGCCTGTTTCATTCTAGAGCATAAGCTCTTAAATGCATAGTTTACTGCCTTTTCCTATGTAGCAATAAATCACATATCATGGAGGGTGCAGTTCTGTAGAGCAAAGGTCTTGAAGCTTTTATCTTTGAGTGGCATCAAATGAAAAATTTTAAATCACATTTATGTATGCTTTCACATATTTTTAAGTAGATTCCAAATTGTTTTAACCATAAGTTTGAATAGCTTCAGAGGCTGTAACTTCAGTGATATTACAAATGGTATAAATTTAAAACTAAAAATTTAATGTCACTTTAAAAAAAATGTATCTTCCTTTGTCGCCATCATCCATTTAAAAATTATCTAAACATACTCTATTATACTCTAAATTTTATGAGGTTATCTTTTTTTCATTTGATTTCATGTTTTCTGTTTTTCCACAGAATTATACCTAATTGTTTGATAATTGTTTGATGCTTGACAGATAGATTAAAAAACAATTTACATCAGCCTGTTATACTTCAGCCTAGCGACAAAAATAGGTATAAAAATTAAAACTTTCTAAAATGTCATGTGACCATTAATTTAATCTTCTGGATTAAGCTATTAAACATTTTAGTAGTAATGTATTTCAAATATTTTTATTTTTCATTTACCACTGACATACAATATTATGTTAGTTTCATGTGTACACATAGTGATGAGACATTTATAGAACTTAAGAATTGATTGCCTCAATAAGTCTATTACCCACCTGGCACTATACATAGTTACTACCATATTGTTGATTATATTCCCTATGCTTTACATTACATCCCCATGACTGTTTTTATAACTGGCAGTTTGTACATCTTAATCCCTTCTCTTTTTTCACCCTTCTCCCCAACCTCCCTCCTATCTGGTAACTATCAAGTAACTTATTAAGTCACATAGATATATAAAATATTTTACAAAACAATTATTAAATATAAAAAGGAAAATTTTATTAAAATTTATTTCTTAATATCCATGA